TGACAAATTTTTGTAAAACAGCAAAAAACACAATTTTGAAATGATAAATTAGCTAGTAGTTTTGCTGAACATAGTCATATAGTTGTTTCTTAGATCATAAAAAAATTAGACATACAATTTATCGTATGTAATTTAAGAACTATGAGCTTTTAAGTTCAGTCTGAAGCCTGAAGCCTAGAGCTTTGGTCAAAATGTGATAATTCATTGGTCTATTGAACTTTGAAACCGTAACCGGCACTAACATTCCTAAGTTTACAATAAAAAATAATGACACAATTGCCCCAAGTCTTCAAAAATTTGGACTTAGACTGTGAATTCAAAATTATCAAAACTGGTCGACTTTGAAAGACACTTCTCTAAAAAAATAGTACTAAAATGTGCTGGCAAGCTCTATCAAAAGTTTGCACATTTAATAGAGATTGTTAAATGATAAAATACTTAATAGTGCCATACTATAAATGAAACTAAAAACTAAAAACCTGATGCATTTTAATAGTTTTAATAATATTCATTATTAGATCAATGGTGCATTCATCGGATACTTTTGATTACTTGGACTTAATATATATATATATATATATATATATATATATATATATATATATATATATATATATTAGGTACAAAATTCCCTAAATTATAGTTTACCATCATAAAAAACATATTTTTTTACGTTAGATATATAAATAAAACTATTTTATAGAAGGAATTACCAATTCAATAATTTTAATAATAACAGTAGAAATAAATTATGTAATACTTTTTTAATTTAGTGAATTAGTAATATAATAATATAAAGTACAGTATAATATGGAACATATTTTTCTAAATGTCACCATATAATATAATGTATTTGTAAATTCCAGCAGAAAACTCATGTGGCGACGTAAATCTCACATAAATCTTATATTACTCTAAAAATTTACAAAATTTAAAATTATTAACTGAAACATCACAATTGTTCTCTGGTCTCTTCCCTCATTGCGATGATAATATTTAGGATTATCAACCTTTTTAGCAATTAATAATTATTTTTTAGAGCTAAATAATATCGTGTCACACACTTCTCTCAATATTATTTTACTATTTCAAAAATTAATAATTTATAAAGACAACAACACTATATATTAATATAAGAAAGTATAATAAAAAATTGTTATTACTTTTCCGAACCTTTATTTCAACTAAATTATTATCTGGTATATCTGCATGAAATGTTCACGATTAATATTAATAGAATTAAATTTTGCAACTATTATAAAATATTTTTTCTTATTTTTCAGAACCAAATGAAATTCTTTTTATCATCCTGAGTCAACCAAATACTTATAGTTCAAGTTTAGCTGAAAGTCTGCGAAAGGATATTTTAAGACAAGCCATCGATCTGAATAAGGTAACTTTTTTATTAAAAAAAACCAAGGGTTTAGATGTCTCTGTGTGTATGTCTTTTCTTGAACGACGAAAACCTTATCAGATTTTCGAACAGACTCACGAGTGCAGAATTTTATCGCATTCTTCTTGTTTTTGCTTACGATTTGTTCTACTGTTCCATTTAGCTTTTTTCCAGTGTTCGAATTTAAAAATAAAGCATGTCAATCAATGGCGTTTCACAGATTCGGAAATAACGACGAACATTCAAAATAGATACACAATACAAACGCAACTTTGATATGTACATTTACATATTTTTAAAAACTGCCGTAGTCAATTAATTTGCCATGCAAAATATTTAAAAATATCTATGTAGGCCGAATACTCGTTCGGAAGTTTAATTAATTATTTTACAAACACCTATGTTTAAAAATTAATTTCAAACGAATGATAAAATATATTAAATTTCATAAAACTGGTTTATTTTTCAAACAAACGCAAATTGGCTAGCATTATATTTTTACGCTTGAAGATTTTTATGTAATGAATTGAAAAAAAAAATTTCATCGATCAATTTTTAAGTACGAATAAATTTTCATAGAAATCGATAGTCTAATGTAGATATCGGTAAAGAAATTTGTTATTAAATTATATTTAAAAAAATTCAATGGTACGTGGTTGCGATCACCTTGATTACTTATTTAGCGGACTGTTAGTAAGAATTTTTATGTTAGCATAAAAAATGAATGAAACAACTGTTTTTATTGCTATATTGATCTTAAATTTACAAGCTCCTTCCTTGCATTCCTTTTGCTAGACTCAAATATATTATAATGCACAGGTATTTATCTTATATATTTATATTATTTATACAAATCTTCTAACTCCCTACACCGAAATCTGGTTGATAATAATAGTTTCTGGTACAATCTTGACCAGTATGTTTTATATTTTGGAATTTTGCATGGAGATCTAATTTATAAATATATTAATAAAAAACATTTGCAGTTTAATTTCATACTAATATAATTGCAATATATTCGCATACTATTAAGGATCAAACGTTCCGGTTTGGCCGGGACTGCCCCGGATTTCCACCTCGTTTTTCTAAAAGCAATATTTGTCCCGGATTGTTTCAGTTTTTCAAAATGTACTTGATAATAAAATCACAACTAGCCATCAAGTGTCAGAAAATGATACATAAGCATATATAAATCAATATGATATAAATGAGAAAATTAAAATAGACTCTTACATTAATAAATTTGAATGTTTAATTTTGCAAAAATTAATGTTACAAAAACAAACAAACAAGTGTTAATTTTGCAAGTTAATTATGAAGAAAATTTCAAGACTCAAAAGCGAAAAAACATAGATAGAAAAATATAAGATGATATAACATCATAGGTACCTACCAAAAGTCCGCAATTCAAATTGAAAAATTGATTCAGTGTAAAAAAACTCTTTTTTATTGTATCCTCAAATTGTATTATTTATTTTGAAATAATATTTAAGTTATTAAGCATAAACCCCCCCCCCCCCCGGTCCATTTATGTCCCGGTTTTAACTTCGATATAATATTACTTTACACAGAATAATTAACTTCCCGTAGGGCAAGTTATAGTAATCACAAAAAAATCGAAAATGAAAATTTTTATATATCTTTACGTTTCAAAGGTTTCTGAACATTTTGGCATACCTTAGAAAAAATGGATGTATGTGTGTGTGTGTGTGTGTGTGTGTGTGTGTATGTATGTAAGTATGTATGTACGTGTGTGTATGTATGTGCGGATACAAATTTTCGTCGACGATTTCGGTAACACGGATCAACCGATTTCAATAATTCAAAAAAAATTCGATTTGTAATGATAAGGAGACGTGCTGATTAGTTTTTGGCGAAGGCAGGTCTAGCCGTTCCGAAGATACGGGGTAAAAAGTGCCATAAACGGTACCTCCGTTTCTAAGAGAACGGAGCGTCCGATTTGAATAATTCAAAAAACATTTTATTTGTATTGACAAGATGAATAATCGATACAATTTTCATGAAGGTAGGTCCAGCGGTTTCGGAGATATAGAGGAAAAAGTAAAAAAATGAGCCATTTGGCGGTCAAAAATGATCATTTGACATATGCACATCAAATTATCAGATATTTTATAGAGATTTTAACAATAAGTATACATTTTGTTAACATTCCTATGGGTTCCGTACCAATGCTTATGCGTTAGACAGCGACGCGGCGCTTACGCGCTTTATATTTTGTCCTAATGCAGATAAAGCAGTACGATTGCTTTGAAAAAAAAGTTCAGATCTTCCACAATATGTCAAAATAAAGAAAAAAAAAATTTTTTTCAAAAAAAAAAATTTTTTTAAAAAAAATTTTTTTTTTAATTTTTTTTTTCAAAAAAAACTAATTTTTTGTCCAATTTATAGTTTCTCAAAAATCTTATTTTTTCAAAGTAATTTTTTTTCAAAAATGTTAATTGTTTTTAAAAAAATAATAATTTTTGGTATGGGAAGTTCCAGCAATTTGCCTTAAGGCACGTTGCCCTAATTGCCATAAGACAGAATTCCACTTACAGCTAGTTTAATTATAATATACTATGATAATAATCCTTATTTATTTGGAGCTATAGACAAAAAAGAATAGAATAATCCTAAAATAAAATTCCAGATTATTTACAAAAAATAATTGAATTATTCACCTCACGGCATGACTGAAGGCTGAAAAGGCAACTACTGCTAGATCTTCGGTAAATTAGCAAATCAGTAATTATTCGGCGGAATAATTACTATACAAACTTTTTTGCTGATTTTTCTTATTCTTTTGACTGTCTATTTGTATAAGTATGGATTTGAATTTTCTACGTTTATTTGAATAAGAGCTCTATAAACTCTTAGGATATCATTATATTCTGAATGTTATAACATATATGAAATATAAAATATATTAAATTATTCTGTGGACATTTTAAAAGTCCATATTATAAATTACAGGAAACTTGCAAGAAATCGTTTGAATTGTTTTTGTGCAACCTATGGGTACATAGCAATTTAGCTTACTCGTCAAGATGCAAGTATAGAGGAAGAAATGGTGCAATTTTCTATCAAACTTAAAGAACGGCTAGCAGTACCAACAAATAGCTTTATATGCAAAAATGTCTTTACAAAAAGTCTTTTTGAAAAATGTGCCTTTAAAGATACGTCAGATTGTGTAATTTATTTTAAAAAAATACAATGGAAAAACCTATGAATATGAATTATTGTCAAATATACAAATTTACAAATACCATTTCTTTTTGGATAGAGCAAAATGAATGTAGGAAAAATAATGTATCAATATCGTTAGAAATTACATTATGCACTTATATTTGATATAAGTGGCTTAATAAAAGTTAACTTGAATACTATTTTTTAAAAAAATAATAAAAACAGAATATTTTTCATATTTTTCAGACACCGCCAATAATCCACCTTACACACCTGGATTATCCCGCAGCATCTTCATGGACCGTTCTACCTTTATTGCCAACAATTACTCAAGCTTATAACTTATCCATTGAAAGTACAAAGTATAGAAAAAAATACTCAGATCAAGAATACTCATCAGAGCAAACTAGAACAAGGCCCAATAGAAATAAAATTAATAAAGCAAACAATAATATATTGCAAAAAACTGAAAAATATTCCAAAAATAATGTCTCACATTATTTGGATCCAATTCTAAAAATATCTAAATTTAAACGAATACGGAAGAACAGGGAAAAAAGGGACAGAATCCGAATTAATTGGGTTTTTGTCTGTGAAGATCGAACATATGTGAACTTGCTAGAACTATTGAATATTTTGTCAAACAAAAATTATGAAGACGTAAGTATTGAAAAATAATAATAAATAGTATATAATAAAAGCAATTATAAGGTTTTGCATATGTATATTTTATCAAATATATTATATGAGCTGTTCATTTTTAAAGTGATTTAAGTTCATTTTGATCTTTTATAAACTCATTACCCTATTAAATTAATATATCTTTCAATTACACATCGTCATTTTTTTATATCTCTATATTTAAAACATGGCATCACCTAGTGTTCACTTTGATAAATTTACTCCTGTCATATAATTCGTTATATTTCATGTAACAAAAGGATTTTATATAAATGATGCATTTAGAGCCTATTGCTGAAAAAAAATATGACATCGTATCAAAAAATAGGCAATCCAATTTCGTTCTGAAACATTTACCCTTGATTGTATGAGGCTAGAGAAATTGGTTTACAAAAGTATATATATATATATATATATATATATATATATATATATATATATATATATATATATATGTATATATACAAATCCGTGCATGTGTTAAGTTGATATATGTAATAATTGTGTTTTATGTTTGTGTATTACATTAATGAATGATATGAATATTTGATTATAAATTTATTGAAAATTTATGTTTCAATGGTAATCAAACGATAAATCTAATTTTATATAAATACTACTATAGTCATAGTAATGGAAAAACGATCTGCATTAGCAATTATTTTATCGTAAATAATAAAATAACTAGTGGTGAATGGCATCGTGCCTTAAGGCAAATTGCTGGAACTTACTAGAAGGCAAATTAAATGTTTTCAAATAGATTATTTTTTCAAATACTGAAACTTATATATATTTACAGGAAACTAAATAAACAAAACTTAATCAATCAAATTTAAAATGAAGTATATTGTATAATATTTATAAGAATTACATAAACTGAATTGCAAAGTTAAAATTATTTATTTCAAGTTTACTAGTGAGCTTTAGATCTTTAGCTAGAAAACAATTAGAATTCGATTTATTTTCGATATTCAAACAAATTTTTTTTTGGAAATAAGAAAAATACATGCAGAAAGTTTTTTTAATCATTCAAACCGAATGCTTAGTTCTTTCAAAACCGCTTTATTTTGCACATTTAGATCGATTAAAAAAAAAAACTCGATAAAGATTGCATTCACCAGTGTTTGTAAGTCATTCTAAATCGTTTGACCCGAAGATCGAAAAAATCACGAGAGATTATAAATTAAGTCAATTTAACATTTTGCCAAAGATTTCTAAAAGACCATTTAAGAAATGCTACCAATAACATCAATAAAAATTATTTGATTTCTTAATTTTTTCTTGCCTTAATTTTATGAGATAATCGGTTTAGTTATATTATACTCGTATCATTTAATAATTAACATAAGATTTTTCGACACTTTTACAAAAAAAAAATAGTTTTAAATACCGTTTTTCAAAGATAAATGATAATTCATGATAAATAATAACTCAATAATCAACTTATCGTTCAATGATTAATAATAAGTTGATAATCACCAGTTAAGAAAAATATTTTTGTTACAAACTAAAAATGATAATAGAACATAGTTTTAGTTTTAGGGGTATCAATGGATTATGAATAATTTTATTAAAAATGGTGGGCATCTATATGAGAAAAAAAAATTATAAATAGAATTAGCTATCCAGAAAATTTAAATTATTATAATTGCATAAATGATGTCCCAGAACCGAGCGTCAAGCCGAAACGGTGTGATTATATCTTCTCATTTAAAAATGAAAAGTTTTTATTATTACTCGATTTTTTTGTTATTATGAAACTTTCAAATATTATACCATTTTGAAATCCTCATTAAATGCGCCAACTTTAGATAAAACTTAACGAGAGCCTCTCAAAAATTACCAAATTCGTACTTTAACAAAAAGTACTAATACTTGAAAACTTGGAGCAATGGTGACATGAGTTTTCACTGTGGTCCGACAAATTTTATTTGCGATTACTGATCCAAAACTTTAATGAACAAAATTAATAAAAATCAACGTCAATAACTGAAAAATTGCCACATTTTCACCAAAGCTCCGGGTTACACTTAAAAGCTCATAATTTTCAAACCACGTGAGATATTTTTTTTCATACAGTTATATATTTATACTATTACTCCGTTTTGGCTTGTTTTAAGTTTTGGGACACCCTGTATAGTACTTGTTTGCTTTTAATTTCGTATCGTTAACTTACAAGTTTTACACTTTTCAGCATTTTCATTTAAGAGTTTTGTTGATAAAATTAAACTAAAAGAGAAACTGAGTTTGAGTTCAAGAATTATTTATTCTAAATTCGTTGACGATAATTAATAAAGAAAAATATAAACCATTAAACTTTTCTAGCTTTTCCAGTACTTATTTACATCATAAATAAACTCAATGTTCATATACTATAATAATAAATTCGAACTGTGTAATATATTGTATGAGGTAGTTATAGCATCAGGATTATCTGTTTCCCAATATATTAAAACTCTAAATAGATCATGGTAAGCATATAGCTCGTAATAATTCTTGAGATGTGTTCGTATAGTGAATTTCGAATTCAATTACTCTCGTCTTTCATTTAAGGATATGTACCTGGGCCATGCATTGTACGATAGAGAGGCATCCATCATACATCATTTTGCTTTTATGCAAGATCCCACCGTGTTCAAATACCCACACATCGGTGCAGGCATGGCTTTGTCGAGAAAACTTGTTAGCAGGTAAGGAATGTTGTAAATTCAGTTAATAACTGACGAATGGGTGAAATTTTCTATACGATATATTACTGCTACTTCTAACAACTAGTAATGTATATGCTCTTGCTGAACTTCATAAATTTTCATGCTGATATATATCGGAGATATCATAAGGTGAAGGCACAGGGAATCACCTCTTCAACTATTCAGAATTTCACGTATGTTGTAAGGAATATGTGGAATAATTTATATATATATATATATATATATATATATATATATATATGGTTGTGGCTCAAATGGTTCCAAATTGAAAAAAAAACAATTCTCTGAAAGTTTTAGCTCTTAATATTAACTTTTAGATAGTGCGCATTTCAATCGAACTTCGTATGGAAATAGCATGGAAAAATTTTTGAAAATAAAAAAAGGTTTTTTAGGTATAACTAGGTATAACTAAGCGAATGAATTGAATTAAAAGTGAAAATTCGTGTCATTTTTTATTAAAAATTCGAAGCTCTGCAAAATTTTTGAAAATTTTTCATGCTATTTCCATACAAAACTTTGAATTGCGCTCTATCTAAAAGACAATACTAAGAGTTAAAACTTTCAGAGACTTGTTTTTTCATTAATTTGGAACCATTTGAACCCTTGGGAGCAAGGAAATGCGAAAATGTACGTCTAAATATTGAAAGTTTTAGATTCAGTATTTAGACGTTAGTCAATCTGTACACACTAGAATGTAACCAAAAATTGTCAAAAAAAATAATTAGTTTAAATGCTCCAGTTATTAATAGCTTGGTTTATCATAGTGTAATAGTGTAGTGTATTTTTGTATAATTAATTTCTTTTTCCACTGAATGACGGTCTCGATGAAGACCGAAACGTATGGATAAATAAAGTATTTCAAAACTACTTTATTTTTTTTTACTTGGTGTTACTGCCCGATTCTAAATAACTCATCATGTATATTGTATATATATAGGGTGCCCCAGACCTCAATGCCCAGCCGAAACGGGGTAATAGTATTGATCACAACTGTAATGAAAAGAATTAGAAAAAAATGCATATCACATAGTTTGAAAATTATGAGTTTTTAAGTGGAACCAAGAGCTTCCGTGAAACTGAGCCCATTTTTGGATTTAGTTGTTAATTTATTTTAAATTTGTTCATTTGGATATTTGGATCTTTCAAAAAATATGCACAAAGTTGTGTTGGCAAATTTTATCGAAAGTTTGTGTTCTTAATTAGGATTGTAAGATGGTAAAATACTTAATAGTTTTATAATTAAAAAATAGAGTAAAAAATGAAAATCTAAAAATAACATGATTTATCTAGAGCATTTTACTCACAATTAGTTCAAACACTTGTCGCACGAGCAAGCTGCAATGTGCGAGATTGTTTTTATTTTTTTACTGCAAATGTTTCATTATGAAACTATCAAGTATATTACTGGTATACAATCCTGAATAAATTTTTAATAAACTTTTGATAAAACTTGCCAACCTACATTAGTCAATTTTTTTAAGGAGGGTTCTCAATGTCAACCAATTTTAAAAATTTGAAATTCATAGTTCAACAAAAAGAGTTAATTCTTGAAAACTTGGGATAATTGTGTCATTATGTTTGGCTATGATCCTAAAAATACAAAGTTTAAATAAACAAAATTAATGAAAACTAACTACAAAAACAAAAAAAAAATAATCACATTTTCACCACAGTTCTTGGTTGCACTTTTAAGCTTATTTACGTTTCGTTTTCACTTTTGGGACACTCTGTATATATTTATTCGATAAACAATATTCTTAGAATATAAAGGTAGCCAAAATTAGTCGAATCTAAAAGAATCATAAAAATCAAAAACTATTTTTTTCTATTCATTTTCAATCACTAATACATGCCATCTTTCAGTAATTACAATCCAGAAAAGCGCAATTCGCTACCAGTAAAAACTTATTTATATTAGAGTTAGAGATGATACTTGAAAAAAGGCACAAAAAGGATTTATTTAAGAATAATAAACAAAACAATAAAATAAATATTTTTAAATGAAACAGCATACGTAATTAATCAAACCATTTACAATACGACTAGGATTCCAGTGCCAAACACAAAGCTCAATTCAATTTACTAACGACTGAATGGTGAACGAGTCTAGAGTTGATGGCAAAATCTTGCAAAATAAAATGCAAAACAATACCCATTAGGTGTAAGTGGCATTTTGCCTTAAGGCAAGTTTGATATACTTTGATACATATCGACATGAATAATCGACTTCATTAACAGAAATTGAGATTAAGCCAATGAATAAAATTTTCAACTTTTTATTTCAAAGATAAAGTTTGCACTAAAATCGTCTGAATGCGATTTCTAATTATAATATTTGTAATTGTAATAACTATAGTTCACAAACACGTCCAAAAAACTCAGCTCATTATTCCAAGCTTCATTAAATTTAACCACTTTTTGCGGGACTATTAATATTTTAGCATGTTTTTTAGACCACGAACTCTAGCAGTGTTACGTTTCATTTAAAAAGCAAGAAAAATAATATTTATTTATTAATGACCTGACCGATCATTACAAAAAAATAATCGACACGATCTTAATTTATTAATATCTGGAATCAGTTTAGATTGTTTTTGCAAAAACCTGGACAAAAATGTATTATTTTCCTGCTAATTGTAAAGAAAAGATCTACTAAATACCTTGAGACAAGAACGTTCATTTAGTATATTTAGAGGATTATGATAAAATGAATGATTCATATCCGTAAAAATTAAATGAAAAAGATACAAATTTCGAATATATATTCGTAAGAATTGCAGCTTTGATACCACGGACGTTATTCGTTTTGACTGCCTATCTGGGTTTATTGAGAATCAATTTTTTTTTGTCCTACGAATTCATTTTATTTATTTAAAACAATAGCAAACAGTTAGTACAGAATCCGCTTTTACGAAATATAAAGATCGATTATTTTTTTGGTACTGCTATATTTTACTTCTTCTGCTTTAAAATAAACCTGCTATGGAATCTATTTTCCATGAATCTTTCTGAGCCTTTGGTAAAATTCATTTAATAATACTATATTAATGGATGTGGTTGTGTTACATTAAAAAATTAAAACTGAATTTGGTTTTAATTTTCATAATATAATTAAGTATTATGTAATGATTACAATACATTATTATAATAATATATTTCAATAAAACAAAATAATACCAAATTAATCATCATTATTATTGCATTAATAAGGATTTTTTTTTCAATTATCTTCTATATATATAAAAATAAGTCGGGTTTTCCTTCCTGACGAAATAACTCCAGAACGCACGAACCGATTTCGACAATTTTGCATTCGTTGGAAAGGTCTCGGGCTCCGCAAGGTTTATAGCTAAGAAAATTAGGGGTGCATGGTATCGCGCCCTCATGCAAATTTCTGGAATTTCATGCACCGTAATTAACAATTCGAGTAATAAAAATAATCAACAATTGTTTTAAATAATTTCAAATAGATTATCTTCTATATATATAAAAATAAGTCGGGTTTTCCTTCCTGACGAAATAACTCCAGAACGCACGAACCGATTTCGACAATTTTGCATTCGTTGGAAATGTCTCGGGCTCCGCAAGGTTTATAGCTAAGAAAATTAGTAGCGCATGACATCGTGCCCTAATGCATATTGCTGGAACTTCACGCACCGTAATTAAAAATTCGAGTAATAAAAATAATCAACAATTGTTTTAAATAATTTCAAATAGATTATCTACATATTCTACATATATATAAAAACTAGCCGGCCCGACAGACTTCGTCCTGTCAAAAAAAATTGTAATGTGACGGCCTACCTTTTTTCTATTCTTTGCCAAAAATTATCCTGAACAGAACCGTCACCCTGGTAATAATTCCCTGTGAATTAAAAATAATTAAATAAAACACTATAAGCATTTAAAAGTAAGTAATTTTAATAATGTAAATCATAATTCAAAAATCAGTTCAATTTTCATTGTAGTGCTTTGTGATAAACGATGTTTTTTGTTTGATTACTTACTGGCGCATAGACAAACAAATCTGATGGTTTTCTAATACGGGAACAAACTACATACAATTTTCCATGTGAGAAACATGGGTTTTCTTATTTAATACTACAAACACTTAATAATACCATAAACGCACTGGAAACGCATTGAGATGCATGGTGCGAGAACATCTTCTGCTTTATACTATCCTTTGCAACATTATAATTGCCGATCCAACCTTTAATTGAAGATTGTGAGGTGACAATCCTAGCAAATCCAGCGAGTTTAAAAACTCCGGCGGATCGTCTTGGTTAGTTGCCGAATCAACTGATTCGCCTGTAATTTGTTCTTGAATTTTGAAATTTAATTCATTTACATCAATGTTTTTGGCTGCCAATATAGCTTGATTAATAGAAAGATATTTCTATGTTTATATAAATATATTCAAAATTAGATTATCAAAAACTACACAAAATGTCATGACATCGATCATTGTTTTTTTACAAGTTGCGTTGCCTACTCGATTAAAGAAAAAAAGGGCTGTTTTTAGGGTTTTCCCGGCAATTATTCATTTTTTTCTCGCCGTAACAACCATCCTTGGACTTCAACGAACATTTTAAAAACAGAATTGGCCAAATTGGTCCAGGCGTTGTTGAGTTATGCGCTTACCAACACATTTTGCGATCCATTTTTATATATAAGAAGAAGAAGATAAGTATGGTTTTCCTTCTTGACGATATAACTCCGGAACGCACAAACCGATTTTGACAATTTTGCATTCGTTGGAAAGGTCTCGGGCTCCGCAAGGTTTATAGCTGAGAAAATTAGTTGTGCATGGCATCGTGCCTTAATGCAAGCTGCTGGAACTTCACGCACCGTAATTAAAAATTCGAGTAATGACATTAGTGAGAATTATCAGAATTATGCTTGGTTAAGTCAACGAGCAATACTTGCCGCAAAGAATAATGATGTACACGCCCTAAATTTCACCATTCAATCAAAAATTGCTGGCGATTTGGTGACATGCCAATGATTTTGACTGGTCTTCCGTTTGACTTCAAACGATTGCAATTTTCAGTTCGCCTTGCGTTCGCAATAACAAGTCGCAAGGCCAATCGCTTAGTGTTTGCGGGATAAATTTCAAATAGATTATTTAGAAAATAATTGTTTTTCACGTGGGCAGTTATACGTTGCCTTTTCACGAGTTGGAAAACTATCCGCTTTGTTTGTGTTAACATCAGACCAAAAAAAAAAAGTAGTTTACCATCTGTTGGCGAAACGGGGTTCGTCGGGTTTGCTAGTTCTATATAAATATTTTAAAAAACTTTAATTGAAAATATTTTTCTTATTTAACTCACAAACAAAAATTTCATCTTATATCATATGAACTTTCCTGTATACATGTTTTAATGTAATATAGATACATCTCCATCATAAAATTATAAATATTATATATTCAATATATAATAGAGCTCGTACAATAAATACCCAAGTTTGATAAATCGATTCTTCTGGCAATTAGATTATTTATTCAATTCTAGTTCAAATTTCAGAAAGAATTGTTTCAAAAAATAAACTGCATTGTTTCTATAGCTTCAGATACAGCACGACGTTATAGAAGCAAATAATTTCCCTGTTTTCTTTGGTTGACCACTATATCGATTAAAATTTATTATTAAAGTGCAGTTCATTCCAATGTTATTTCAAACAGAGTCTATATTTGCTTTTAGTGCTGCGTTGATTTTTTATGTATATAACCTGCGTAATATATCACTAAAATTGCCATATGAAATCCTGGCGCAGTACATTATATAGATATACGAGTATGTCTATTAAACACACCTTGAAATTTTAGTATTATTTAAATACATATATCGCAAGTGTAGATGTGATTTCTGGATTCATCTAAAGCGTTAAAAAATTAATTAGTTGAAATTGTTATAAAAAAGTTTTATAAACTGAAAGAATACTATTCACTTACTCTTCAGAAGCAACTATAGTAATCATCATTCAAAAACAATATATCAGTATACATAAAAACCTCTTTTATAAACATTAGATTAATTAGGGAAATTTCAAATTTATCAGTCGACAGATCTAAACCTGAAATATAATTATATATATATGTTAAATATATGTATTCTATTCTATAAATACAAATTCGCATAATATTCCCAAAAATTACCCTTCGTAACTTCCCTGTCCGAAGCCAAAAATCTAACTAAAAAATAATCGCAAGACTTGTCACACCTCCTAAATTGAATAATTCCGTTTGGCATAGAAACTAACACAAACTGGAATAAAATAAAAGCTATGAACATGATGACCTTTTAATCGAAACTGGCAACTGGTTCACCGATATCTGGATGTCGTAAACTTAAATAATATTATATATCATCTGACTCGGAAACCTGTCAGAGAAAGATGTTATGATTCTTTGATAATTTTATGTTTGCTAAATTTGCCAACTTGCCGCCAAATTTGCTGAATTGCTTGAAACCAAATTTGAGAAATGCATGTGTGTATGTGCTTATGAGTGTATATATAAATATGAGCCACTTATCATTTAATATTATCTTATTAATTTTATTATTATTATTATTTGCTTTTATTTTATATTAAATCAGCATACTACGGATACCATTTTATTGAGAATTCTATACTCAATTTTGTACTCTTTTTGTTTAAATTTATGTTTATTATTGTTACTAGATTTTAATTATTCAGCAGTTGTAACAAATATAGTAATTAAAAAAAATAAATAAAAAATACTTATCATTTCGTCGACGTTTCTTAAAACTTCTGAACCGATTTCATTTTATCGTCCCAACTGATGTTCTTTAAGATTAAGTGCAAAAGTATCAACCTTTTTGCTGAAAATCTTAAACTGATTTTGAACAAATAAAAACTAATCAAAATAAATAAAATGGGAATTATGCTGAATAATTTTGGAAAAGATCCGCTGGAATGTTTCTTCATAATGAATTATTTTTGACGATTTTAATGGATCTGTGCTTTGCAATAGGGGTTATGGTCTTTACGAACATCCCAAAATATTATATTTCTACGAAAAATGTTTTAGTTATAAAAATTCAATAAAATTGAAAATAAAAGACTACTCTTTTAAAAAATACACTGTATTAGCTCGGTTTGGTGCATTTCAAAATGCCACTTACATCTAACATAAGTTAAATTTTCTAAATCTTTGTTTGTCTAATTTATATTATGTATTTTATATTTTGTCCAACATTCTAGCACTTTTTATATTCTTTACACGTAAATTTTTGCATAAACTTTCTCAATGAATTCACTGGGTTATATTAATCATGACGCATATTATTTTTATCATATTAATATTATTCATAAAATTGGCTTAAATCGAGAAATACTGGTGAGCAATATTGTTGTATTTTGAAGGAATTATGAATTGAATTCACTATTCTAACGCACCGATGAATCGTAGAATACTGACTAGAAAATCCAAACAGATGATCCGTTAAAATATTCGATTCAGTCAATATATCTTATTGAAGATATTCTCGAAAACCTTGGATCGAACAGATATAAGAGAGATACATACATCAGTAACCATACTGCTCAAATATCCTTTTTGGGAACTTTGTTAGTAACAGAAAGTTTGAAAAATTTAAGCTATTAATGATATAAAAAAATATCAAATCTGAGCATAATTTCAAATTTATATGACATAGATTAGTCTATATATAATAACAACAAATAGTAGTCTGCCCGAAGGCAGGTCCATGGTATGAGAGCACCACAAAATCAATGATTTTCTTCCCCTCCCCTGTTTATTATTCCCATTACCATTTTAATACCACCAATTTATATCACTTTATATTTGTTTTTATGAATTTTTTTATCCAAACTTCTGCAGATATGCTTCCTGGTCTTGTGCTTCGGCATTCAGTTTTCTGTATTTCCTCTTCTCGCGTAAGTCGTCAATCATCTGCATTCTTCTTCTTCCCAATCCTTTCAGTCCTATTTTGCCTTCGACGACGTTCGTGCTGGAGGCACTCTGTTTGCATTCTATATACATATAGAAGTAAAGAATTCTAATATTATTTTTTTATTTTCAGTATAAACCAAAAATTATCTCGGCATCCAATCCAAAATGACTTCTCGATAGATGCATCCCATGAATTAAGTCTCTTTATATTGGATATAACGAAACTAATACACGTGAAAGAATTCTGCTCTAAGAAGAACGAAATTGAAAACTGCGCAACTTTTCCTAGACCGTTCGAGACTTGTGTAAGTAAATGATTAAATTAGTTTCAACAGTTAGCATAATTAAGGTTACTTCTACGCGATCAATTAATTCACTAGTTAACTAGTTGAGTTTCCCGAATCAACATTCCTTCTTGTTTTGAAAATAAATTGTGTAAATATCAAATAGAATATTGGATCACAAATAATCTATACACTTAGTTTTATTCATTACTACTACTTATAATTATAGCACACTTGTTAATGGACCCGAAATTTTCTGAAATTTGTACAATTTTGATGATCAGCCTAAACAACATAAAATACACAAAAAAAATCAATTGAGCAAGTCTGAACTCGAAATATATTCCGTAGGCAAGAATAAAAGATTTGAACCTAAGTTAATTTATTTTGAAATTTTTAAAAATTTGCAGGACCGTTTAGTGCCTTTTCGTAATTCGAATTCAATAACAGCATAAAATAAAAACCACCCTAAATTGACCTAAAATTTCTAAATTAAATAAAATGTCTATTACTTCACGTTGTAACTTATTATAATGATTTAAATACAAAAATTATAGAAGTCAATCCTCAGATTAAATAGAAATGTTATGTTATAGGCCTATCAAAATTCTATGTCTTTACTGTGTAATCAGACGTTTCACGCAATTAGAAACGTCAAGTAACAATTTTATTATAAGTACTAATGTGCCCCTTGTTTTTTTGGCTGTTTGTTACTACCAATTCATACGAAGATAGATTCGTAACATAGCGTTATTATAACTTTTCCATTTTATCGAGAATTGGCTCTATAGTTTTTTGAAGCCCAATTTTCGCCGCATTTTTCAAGAATAACTGCTATTAACCAGTCGTAGGCTGCATCGAAATAACATAAATTACTTATTACTTGTTCACATTTCAAAGCAATCTGAGGACCATTTTACACATTGGATATCATTTTACATTTGAATGTACTACGAAAATAAAATCGTAAAACGAAACAACTAATTTTTAAAAATAACTAAAAAAAAAATCATATTTTACCTTCACCGTATGCAAAAAACTATTGCTGATTGCTTTGAAGATAGATTTTTTCGAATAATTTATATACTCTATATTATTGTACATAATATATGTTTTCTTAAATTTAATTAAAACAAACTAATACCCAAACATATCTTTTTAATAACCTGTTTAATTAAACTCTATATTTTATTAACAATATTTTTATATATTTTATTTTAGGGCCATATGGTTTCGCAAGCGGCACTATATTTTGCCGTGAAACATGCGAGAGTTCCATAAGGAGAGACTGCCGGTTGTAAAAAGCACGTGGGGAGATAAAGCACAAAATGTGATATACTTCAGCGAAAAGCAAGGTGAGATGAATAATTATTTCATATTTATTTATAAGCACAACATATATATATATATATATATATATACATGTATATTTTTACACCAGTGTGCATGTTTGTTGTGTTGCGAATAGATGATGGGAATAAAAATTAAAATAATTTGAGAAGCTTTTTGAAATTAGTTATGTTTCATTATATATTGAAAGTTCATTTTCTTTATTTAAATAATATAATTTATAATAAACAATAGAAAATAATAGAAGTAAAAAGTTGAAGGAATAAATTATGACAATTCTCCATTTAAACTGTGTTATAACGATCGAGTCTTACATTAAGAAAGTAAGTAATTAGTAAGTTTATAAACCAATAAACTAAGTATAGCCTTCTTTCAAGTGAAAGTACTAATAATGAAACTAAATAATGTTTATAAAAAAATTATAAAATTATTAATATTCACGAATTAAGAATTACATAAAGCTCATGAATTTAAATTAGAAAAAACGAACGTTTTGCACAGTTTTTGGAATAGCAGCTATATTTGTAATAAGCACTTATTTTTCAAATGATTGTTTCATTATTGGAGAGGCTTCTCTTCTTTATTATTCTCAAATCACGCAATTTTAACTTAGATTGAATTATCATTACATTTAATCAGGTTTCTGAAGTCGTATCCAGCAACATTTAATGAAACTACACTTTTTTTGAAATATGTTATAATTCAAGATATTAAAAAATTTATTATTCTATACATATATGTATTTAAAACTTAAGAAATTCCAAAATTTTCCAGAAATTTACAAGATATTTTAAAATTTATCATCTCAAAGTTTCTAAATTCTATAAAATTTTAAAAGTTGAGTATGAACATAATTTAAAATAAAAATGTCAGAATCGAAATATGTATAAATATTTTAAATATGAATGAAAAATAGCAGTTGGCATCAATGCGATTTTGCGATGACGACTTCGACAAATATTTAAGAATTATAACAAACAAAACAATCCAAATATTATACATAATAAACAATGCAATCTAAAAATATTTACTGCTACGATAATTATTTCAGCAATATTTTTAAACTTTTTTAATGAACGTCGCAGGTAATATAACATTTGTTTAGTAATATTAGAGTTTAAACATTAAATTAAATATTAAACTACTGAACTATATTCCACAAACATTTTTAGCACAATATTAAGCATCTTACTACAAGAAAGTTTTTAACTAAAAATACTGAGAGGATAAAAAAACTCTGTCAGATATATTTTTGAAACGAAATTCAAATCATAAGGTTGTCGTAAGATGTCATCGAAGAAGAACAGATGATGACATCAGTATTCTTCTTTTGATTGAAAAACCAAAATAGAGAACACTGAAATCTGATACACAAGTCTCGAAGCATGGAATAAAATTATTGTAAAAAGGGTGTATAATTAAAAGAGAGAAAAGGCAATAAGTTCTCAGATTATGTTCGAGTAGAGCACCATTATCCAATTTGTTATAATAGTGACTCTACTTTCTCGAATCAACTAACGGCTTGCGAAAAAGTAAATTATACATGGCGAACATCGATTTATTTCTGGCTAATTTGTGGATATCGAGAATATTTAATTTCAAAACTGAAGTATTATGTTCATGCGATGCACTTCATCGCATTTAATCATATGCCTCATTATTCGCGATCAATATCTGAACTTGTCCTTCATATTTTTTTAATAAATAATACGTTTTCTTTTTTAGATAACTCTATTCCCACCGTTGGCCTCGATATTCCAAACACAGAAGCTGGTCATTGTTTGAAAACTATGACAATTTTCAGAAAAATTTTAAGCGAGATTAAAGATGGGAAAAAGAAGTTTATAAAGTGGATTATTTTAGCTGACGATGATACCATATTAAGGTATTAAATCATATTTTAGATTTATATTTATTTTTATTTAATCTTGTCAAACCAAGCTGTTGAAACTCCAACCGATCAGGATAGGAAATTTGCTAATTATTTATATATATATATATATATATATATATATAAATATTATTCATTTTATATTAATATTATATTTTATATTAATAATATGCATTTTATACAAAAGAATAATTTCATCACCAAAATACATCATTTATATGAATCGAATGGTTTATTTGAATACTTAATTTTCATTGAGTTTGTATCATAATGAGTTGGTTTGTGTACTCAGATTTATTAGATATTTTCAGTTGTAATTCAATTATATGTCACTGTAAAGATGATATAGAATTTGGTTCTAAATATCTCTGGAACAAATGTTTGTATTAATTTGTACAATTAATTGAAAATATAAAATATGATTTGAAATTGCAGTGTTTCAAGAATGCGAGAGCTGTTAAGTTGCTACAATCACACGAAGTCTTCAGTAATTGGAGAAAGATATGGTTATGTCTTACATTCTAAAGAGGGGTATAATTATATAACAGGTTAGTTGGATTTCAATTCAGCAAACTATGAACAAATTTGGAAAAATACGTTTCCATGATTTAATGCCAACTTATTTTTAAATAAATTTGAGTACAACTCAAGTAAAACAAATATCTCATAGTAAAACAAATATTACTTTTAACTTGCTCAGTTATTTAAAACGCATAAGAAAAAGTTTATATTGGTAATACATTATAATATAAAGTTCTTTAAAAGCACAATAGATACTGAAAATTTGAATCGAATTTTCCTATAGCGCGACTTACATATATTGAAAATATCAAGATTTTGCTATTAAAAGTGCAACTTCTTGTAACTCTCATCAATTAGCTACTTTTGATTATGTTCTTAATAGAATTTCGAATTTTCTTGGTAATTCTTAATTAATTATCATCACTAAAATAGGTGGCGGTGGAATGGCGCTAACAGTATCTTTATTAGAGAAAATTTTAAACAAATGTAAATGTCCAAGTCCAAAAAGTCCAGACGACATGCTTCTTGGCTTGTGTCTCACCAGGTTAAAGGATGTGGAAATAATTCACTCACCTTACTTTCATCAGGTATATCATATATAAAAATAATTCCTTTTTGCTTCATTTGTCTCTATACAATATATATTGTATTGCTATTACAATACTATATTTTATAGCCGTGAAATTTTCGTTTCTAACTTTTTTATTACTTCAAATTACATGTGCTATAATAACATTATGCCTTTGATTGAATTAAATTAGCAGATGATAAAGTAGTTCATATTTTTTTTATAAAGTTGTGTGCATTTAAAATCTGTTGATTTAGTTCGCAACCTCAAGTTCAAAGGGTAAATCGGAAATTGCAATTGAAATATAAGACAAATATATTTTTTAATATTTTTAGCATGATTTTTTTTATTAATTTTGGCTTATTCTTATCCTTTTTCAAAATTATTAAAAAAATATGTTTTACATGTTAACATAACATTAAAATTTGTCACAGCTAATATTTTTTTAGCTAATACACTGCTAAAATAAAAAATCTTTCGTCAAGAAACAGGTTACAAGTAACAAAGACAAATAACAAAGAAATATTTTTAATATATCGGTTGAGAGCAAAATTTCAATTACAGAACTTAATTAACAGTTCCTATAAGTAAAATATATAAAACGTAATTGTTATTAATGTACTTGAACGTTAATTAGTTAATGAATGCAAGGAAAACGAGATTAGTATCGATAATATTAACATGGAATAAAACGCCAATTAATTTTAGTTTGATATTAAATGATACAAACAAGATTTTATCTTAACACGTGTTATTCAAAATTATGATAAAAATTCTATACGAGAAATAAAAAAAATCATATTACATGCAATCAAAAAAAATCAAGAGTACCTGATGAAAGTTGCATTAGGTCAGAACAATTTTTCAGAAGATAGAAATATAAGTTATAGCTTCTTACTATTAAAGTATATGATAGTTATAGCAGCCTACTAATATAACTGCTGAAAATGTAACATTTAAGATACTTTTAATGAATTTAAATTGTTCATTATCTTTTAGCAAATTGCCTCAGATCTATTTCTTCATTTGAAGATACAATTTTCACCTTATTTCGTCACCAGAAGTCATAACTATTGTTTGTAAATATCGCGCAACATACAAAGAACAGGCCATTATTCTTGGAATTGAACTATTATTATTATGTAAATATAATGAGGTTCTAGTTTTTACGTCGAAAGCATTGATTGGCAAAGCGCTTGAGTGACAATTTTTTGCAATTAAAGATGATTTGCTCCTTTGTACTCAGATAAAAATATTTCGTGCACCAATAATAATTAGAAAGAAGAACAATTTTAGGCAAAGTTATGTCGTATAATTTTGTTATGTAATATAAGCATAAGATAACATACAACAACATACACTTCTAAAATACCACAAATACAATAATAGCCGCGTTTAAGAAACGCACTAACAAAATAATACTTGCAATGTCACTTAAGGGGCACAACTAGTGTAACCGCCTAAAAAATAGGTGATTTTTGGGAATTTATATTAAAAAAAAAACTACTTTATCAATCATTTCAAAATTTTAGGAATATATTTATACACGTTTTAAGAATACATAGTAATTTTTACAAATTTTTGAAGAAAAAAATTAAATATTTTTTAAGTTATCGTCGATCTCCAACGGCGCGACAAAAAAAAGGCCTTTCACTGCTGCAGTGATTCCGGCCTTCTACGTGGATGAAATTAAAAAAAAATTTCTATTCGTTAAACTAGATAATATTGTCTGTAAAATGAACTACGATAAAGAAAAAAAATCAAAAATTGACAAAATGACGGCGTTTTTTACCCAAAATTTTAGTCGTTTTTGGACTGCCATAATTCGATTTTTGATCCGATCAAAAAATCGATAGTTCATTTTACGTAGAACTATATATAGAACATGTAAAAAAAATTGATAGTAATCGGATCATTCGTTTTTGAGTAATCGCTGCAGCAAATTCGGAAAATGCTGTTTCGAGAAAAACGCGTTTAAAGATAAAATGATCGTTGTACTATATACTATATATATACACTTTAAATGGCTGTAACTCAAAAACTATTTAAGATATCGATTTAAAATTTTGGTATGTTATTTTTAAAGGTATAACCTATCAAAATATGGAAAAATTTAAAATTCGTTTTTTTTTGAAAATTTCACACTGGTTGTGCCCCTTAATGCTCATCGTGATCATTAGATAGATTATTTTTCTAGATAAATTAGTCAAAGAAGATTAAACCTGTTTTCGTGAATATACAAATTCTTATCAAATGGAGATTGTTTTCGCTTTCGAGCTCTATCTGGTTATATCTGCTCTTATGTAAAGTTACGCAAATCTATATCAAAATATTTTCCAGAAACTGTGCAATGTTTGATATCTTGAACAATTGATTGATATCTGAATGATAGCCGAAGGTTAATGTACAGTGGCGTGACTGCGATCAACATGACAGTGTCGTATTTAACCTTCTTTCCGAAAAAACAATTATCAATTTTTAATTGGCAAATCAGAATGCGCAAGGTTGAAAAGAAATTGATTTAAAAACAATTCAATTACACCGTAATTAAATATTTACATCGCATGTTCACAATGTTGCAATAGAAACCAATAACTAATTTTAATAATTTATTTATTCTCATAAAACAATTAATATACAATACATGATGATCGTAAATATATTATATTTATTTTTTAAATGATCATTTTACTTAAGGTGTTATGAGTATGAATATTCTTGGTCTATATAACAGTATTCAAAACTACAGAATAATCTAGCCATTTAAGTAGAAAAATACAAAAATAAATACATAACAATTTCTTTAACAATTTTTTACAAAGGCGATGAAACACCACTAACAGACCTAACGGCGTCATCAATTGCCCTTGCTACATATGCAACATTATTAGAATTAATTCCGCACATATTTATTCTACCACTTTTTAATAAATATATGTGATGTTTTTGTATCAGGTGTTCCACTTGCTTCTCATTTAAACCAGTATAAGAGAACATTCCAATTTGTTGTGTTATGTGATCCCATGTTCCCGGCGTTTTTAATTCGGTTAGATGCCTCTTCAACTCCTTTCTCATCAATATAATACGAGATGACATTGTTTTGATACATTCCAGCCACTCGTTTCTAAGGGATGGATCATTTAAAACTAAACTAACAATTTGTGATCCATGGTTCGGGGGCGTAGAATACATAGCACGAATTAGAATTGTAAACTGGGATTTCATTGGAGTTAGAACTTCTTCATTGTGCGTGACAATAGTCAAATTACCCACACGCTCATTGTACAATCCAAAGTTTTTCGCATACGATTGTGCACAAAATAATTCAAATCCTTCACTCACGGCATATCTTACAGGCCATGAATCAGCCTCAGGATCACCTGAAGCAAATCCTTGATATGCAGAGTCAAAAAATGGGAAAAGTTTGCGCTTCTTGACTACATCTAAAATTTTCTGCCATTGCTCCTTTGTTGGATCACAGCCAGTGGGATTATGAGCACAACAATGCAATATAATTACAGAGTTTTCTGGGGCATTATTTAAATCTTCTAAGAATCCATCAATGTCTACGTTTTTCTGCACTGGGTCCCAATAACGATATTCTTTTGGTGTTGTAAACCCTGCATTCAAGAATACTTGACGGTGGTTTTCCCAAGTCGGTTTAGAAAAATAAAATGTTGTTCTACCAAGGACTTTGGCTAAAAATTCAGCACCTATTCTCAACGCGCCGGTTCCAGATAAGGTTTGAATTCCACATACCCTTTTTTGTTCGAATGCGATATTATCTTCACCGAGAAGTAATCTAGTGGAGGCAGAAGTAAAACCATCAGTACCCAGGACAGGAAGATATTCGTGATTTGTTGTTAGTTCTTTGGCGATTTTAATTTCAGCATCTCTAACAACGGGTAAAACCCATGGTTTTCCTTCTTCGGTTCTGTAGGCTCCAACTCCCAAGTTGCATTTGTCTGGGCAAGTATCACTAGCGAATCCTTTATTCAATGCAAAAACTTCAATCGGCGGCGCGACTTTAACATCACTAAAAAGCGACATTGTTTATTTACTTAAAACACGATTTTTACTATGAATGAGTGAGGTTACGTGATTGAGCGTGCACGTACAATGTCACCGGCCGACTGCAGATCGTATACTATTTTTACGACAGAATGCTCTGCTGGAACGTATTTATCGCGTCACTTTCAATTGACCTTGCCTTGTTGCAAAAGCGATAACAATGTGTATTACAACTACTTACACTAATAAAAATTAATTATTTGTACGTTGCCATGTAAATATTTTATAAAAATTTAGGTTAAGGTATGAAAACAAAGTGCATATAAAAACAAAGAATGAATTTTACACACACATACATATCATTGAGATGCACTGCGTCATGTAACAACAAGAATGTAACTTTACATTTCACTTTTCTTCTACTGAACGTATATTAATGTCATAATTTTGACAGCTTACGTTTGGCTTTGGCATACGTTTGACATATGGCATATGTTTTTTGTGGCATATGTCACGTTCGACAACATAGAAATTAATTTAGGATGGTTTCAAACATAGATAAGTCAGAAGTAAAAAATATTCGCCTGACTTTAACACTACAGTTTAACAAGATTTTTGAACCGATTCTACAGTAAAATAGACCGATGATAAGGCAGGGCTATGTTACGTAGCGTTTTTCATATAAAGTTGTACTAAAAACTGTCAAAATGCTAAGTGGTTACTGTGCAGTCAGGCGTTTTAGATAGAAAACCTAACCCAGAAAACGCACAAACGTCAAAAAATAATTTTATCATAATTGCATCTTTGAAATTTGGCATATTAAATAGCTTATGAACAAAGTTATAATGGAATAAGTAGCATTTTGGTGGTTTTTAGTACCACTTTATATGAAAAACATAATCCTGTCATAACATTGATTTATTTTACGACACAATCGGCTCCTATATTTACCATGCCAATATAAAAAATAAAAACGAGTAGGTAATGAATTATTTAAAAAAATTAAACATAAAAATTAGTTCTATTTTCCATGAATAAAGCAGAGACTTACAATTATGTAATATTATTTTATATGGCCATTATTTACCTTAATAAAATCGTTTATTGTTTGTAAAATGTCAAATATACATAGACATAAATGCAAAATAGTTTTCAGGAGAAATCTTAAATTTATAAAAATTGAGGGGCCAAGTCTCCGGCAAAATAGGCATGACATATCGTTGTTATGGCAAAGCTATGTTACGTTTCTTTCTTCATAAAATATAGTACCAAAAACTATCAAAATTCTATGTATTTGATGTGCGTTTCACTATGTGTTTTACACGTAAATTCTAACCAAGGGACCGATTCTGTCGCATAACAGAAAAATGTTATGGCAAGGCCATGTTACACTCCAACTACCATACATTATGCTACTGAATCATACTAAATACTGTCAAAATGTCATGTATTTGCTGTTCATTCAGGCGTTTTACACATAAAACGCAACGTTACTCGTATGTTATGAAGTATCAGAAACACACTGTTAACTAAGATCGTTTTATGACGTTTGTGCGATTTCTAGGTTAGGTATTCTATATCACAACCTGAGAAATACCGTCAGGCGTATTTCAAATACGCCTGACTGCACACCAACCGCATGGCTTCTGTCAATATTAGTATGGAAAGTTCTTCATAACATGGCCTTGCCATAACATTTTTCTGTTATGTGGCAGAATTGGTCCCGGGGGCCAATTCTCCGGTAAAATAGACCGTAGCATAGCATTGTTATGGCGACGCTATGTTAAGGTGCTTTTTTCATACAAAATGGTACTAAAAACTGCCAATAACTGTGAATTTGCTGTGCAGTTAGACGTTTTTTATATAAAACCTAAACTAGTAAACGCACAAACGTGATGCACACAATTTTATCGTAAGTGCATCTTTTTAATGTGCATTTATAAAACAGACATATACTTTGCAAGAAAAAAATCTTATTTATCTAGGTTTGTAAACTGATATAAGAGGACATTTGTAGCCCTTTTGTATGAGTTCAGAGTTATAATCACAAATCCGGGGTTAAAATCCGCATTTTAGATAGTCTGATATCAATATATATTTTCAAGTAAAAAAAATGAATGGACTAGGATATGAAATTAAAAATTATACATATTAAAAGTTAATATTATGCAATTTCAATAAATTTGAACGAAGGATAATATAAGATATAAAACAAAGTACAGGGCTAATGGGACTAATTAAAAAATTCAATACATATAGTCAACTGGGGCCAACTTAATATTTCGAATTATATTATGAATAACTTAGCCTCAAGTGCAGTCAAGCATAAACTCTTAAATAAATGTTTAATATCTGATAAACTAATATTATATATAAAAATATTAACGAGTTAATACGATCAAGTCAATACGGTCAAGTTGAACATTATTTTTATATAATTATGAATCATATAATTATGAATTATCAAAATCACTGATAATCGTAGGTTTTTATTGCTGGCATTGATTGATGACAATAATGATTTTAATTGCGTATCACGCGAAAGTGTAATCTAAATGACAAGTCCTCTAAAAAATAAATTTGCATCTAGAACTAGAAATATATAAAATGTCTCAAAGATACAATGAATCAAAATTAAATATGCAAAAATGACGTTGGCAATTAATAGAAACGACATCGATCATTAATAGGTTCATTTAATACTGAACCAAGAAGCATTTTAGCATAGGATTTTAATGCGAATAGCCATTACCATAATTACTTTATATATTAACTTTTAAAAAATATTATTAAATCAAATTAGGTAAATTGTTTTTGTAAAAAATAATCTTGGAATATTAATTATTGCACAGAGAAGGTTGGAATCGAGCAAATTCTCATTGAGTGATATAATGCTTATTATTTATCAGTCGCATGAGACAACTTTTATGTAAAATGACCTACGAGAATAAAAATCATAAATTTGTGATAAACGACGATAATTTCAATATAAAAATAAAACTTAAATTACCTAATTTCCTGCTTGCATATAACTAAAACTCTAATTAACAAAAGATTAGACTTAATTAATTAACTATGGAAGCGCCAAAGAAAATAATAAAGTGTGAGAAAATCAAGTTCTCATACTATACCCCCTTTATTAATAATGAAGATAAAATAAAAAGACAGTTTTTAATATACAAGCAAATACTCTTAGGTAATTAAATTTAAATTATTGAAGTAAAAAAAATATTATATTATACATATGATATGTGAAATGTTTACTTGCAAACATGATGTATAGGGTATACCAATTTGGTTTAACTGATTTTCAGTAATCTATTTCTTTTTTTTTATAGGCGAGGCCAGTCGACTATGCTCCCGAATATTTGAAAAGTTCGCAGCAAATATCGTTTCACAAACACTGGATGATAGATCCTTTGAAAGTCTACGAGCAGTGGTTCCAAAACGCTGATTTGCAAATGATCAAAGAGGACAGGACGCATATTGAATTATAGCGCGAACTGTGAATATGTGATTAATTGATTTGTTATATAGTTAAATAATTATATAGAAAGATATATTTTTATAATACAAATACTGCAAATATTCCAATTAATATTAATCATGCTGTTTGAATACGGAAAGACACGGCTAAGTAGTAATATATTAAACATTAACTAAGTTTAGGCCATAAGTATAGTAGGTATTTTTATCAAATAATTTTTAAAGGAAAAAATCATATAAATACGCATATCACTTAGACTTTCTTAAATTTTATCGCTATAATACGATTGGCATTATAAGCACAACTCCTAATCATTACTAGCAACTTCTAATACTAATTACCACATCATGATACTAAAGAAATAATTTCAAAGTGTGAATCAATTCATAATATTTTTATAGAATAATATCCATAAACGTCACTTGAGGTTAAAAAAATTTGAAAATTTGTCTCGAAATTCGTCATCATATTCATAATTTTGTAATGAACATCATCAATAGGATCACTTATTGGGATTAACCATATCGTTGAATAGATTTTCTTAAAGATGTTATGCACCAGAAGTCACAATTTAATTGATATAATTTTTTTCTCAAAGTCAAAGTCATAATTGAAATATTCAGTACCGTAACATAGAAAATAGTAATAAAATAACATAGAAAATACGTTTGATCTACCATCATCAAAAAATTAGTACCCTAAATTGGATATGGCTAATCGCAGTTATAATGTTATATCTATTGCAAATTAGCAAACCAAATTTATTGCCTTTCAACTATGTGGTTCAATAATATGACGAGTTTAATAATTAAACGTTGTTCAATATGACACGGAATTAAATAATCCCCATAAATTCGCGATGTGAATATCCGAAATAATACAACTTTTAAATATTCAAGTGATTTCATCACCCAAATTTTGATTTCAATATAATCCATATCATTGCATCAGAAACAATAGATATGTATAGATTACAGATATTAATTAGATTTGTGGTATGTTGTGTCAAGTACTTGTTAGTACCAAGTTCGTATGTCTAGTACATGTTACTTTGTCTAATAATATGTTGTGTCAAGTACTTCTTGCTTTGATATTTGCCAATCAATTCGATAAGTGAACAATGGCAGTATCTTGCATATAATATTTGACTCGCAAACATAATCCAATTTGTGGGATAAATGTATTTTTCATTAATCGAAAAGAAAAACAATAATTGAAGAGGAAATCCATAGATTGAGGAAATCTAAAAGCCATTTAATAGTTCCATTTGAAATCAAATAGTTATATTGCATACTTGGGAGCCAGTCAAAGACCTTGGGGGAAGTCCCCTAGTGGTGGACACCTAAGGTTATTTATAAATAAATCAAAAAATATTTTATGAAATGTTTATTAAATTATGACTTATGTTAGATAACAAATTTAGAAATCAAACCATATTAACAAATACGCAACCTTTGCTGAAAATAATTGATACCATCAATCAAACTTTGATGACAAAAAATATGATTTTTAAAGTAGTACCGGACATTTCAAAATAACCTACATTGAACACATATGTAGCCATCGGCACACTCAGGAATGTCTGCACATGTGTGTTTGACGAATACTCCTAGATATTGCAAAAAAGTCACTATTTATCCACCCTTTTGGCTGGGACACACCAATGCTCTCAGCTGGTGCACTCATAAGCTTTTCATTGCTTGACTATGAAATACAACAAATGGGGTTATGTTGTGACTGTTAGCACCCATGCAGAACAAAATTGAATAATTGGAATAAATTACGTAAATTCTCACAAGAAATACCAATATGTTTACTCTCTGGCACTAAGGGACGACTTAGTATCCGGTGCTAAGGGACAGACATTTTCGTTCATTTGATGGTACCTACTAAAATTGTTTCAAAGATCTAATAATATTCTACCATTTTACGGATAACAATCAAGTATTACTTTTATCTATGAGTACAACTAAAGAGTAAATGCATAAATATACGAGAATTACTTCCATTGATATTTAGGTGACGCCGTGATTTTTCGCCTAAAACAACAAACGATTGCTCCCGCTGTGACCGTGTCCGTCACAGGTGAGCCTTGGTGTGTGATCCTGCACCTGTGTGCCCCTTTCACTTGTATTTCGAAATAAAAAGAGTTATACTCGCTTAAATAATACGTGTTAAATAGAATGTCCGGCGCTAAATGTCGTCCGGCGTTACGGGACTTTCCCCGATAATACATTGTAGGGTCTATGATATGCCGATTCTTTGATAAAATGGACTGTAACATAGTGTTGTTATAGCAACGCTATATTACAGTCTATATTTATAAGAGAATTGTCCCCTTAATTTTGGAGGCAAAGGCATTAAACTGTTGACTTCATAAAAAATATCTATATCGAGCGGTTTTCTATACTTAATAATTGGCTTAATTGATCGGTTTGTTCGATAGGCATTTTAAAATTAAAAAAAAAAACAATTTTATTAAGTATTTTTTCCGTCACGGGTTTTGTTTCTTCTTTCACATAAGTTAAGCGGAGTTTAATTTGTTTGCTATGCAACTTTTTAATCTTTATAGGCTGTTTTTTCCGAATTTTTAGTTCAGATACGGAATTAGAATTGTACTAAAAATTATTGTAAAAAAATATTGAAAATCAAAGTTATCATTGAAAAGATTTGGTATTTTTGTCACTAATAATTTATATTAATCACCTGGTATTAAAATATATTTCAAGCAAACAGAACATTTGAATTACCGCCATACATTTTAGTTGAGGAGTCGCACACAGATGATGCTACGATATAATTCAATTTTGACATTTAAGATTTTCTCTACAATTTGATGTATATAAATATAAATACATATAACCTTCTATTTTGAAGTCTAAATGCCGTACACACAACACAATCCATACACACATTCGTACGATATCATTCATAAAAAACATAGTACAAAGTTCTCAAATAAATGTAAATACATACGTCCAGAGGCAAACATAAATAAAAACATGCTTATTCACGGTGCACTTGGCATAATTCATAATATTTTATCTGAGATAAAAAATCTGGATTTTCGATTAAAGTCTATAAGACTGGATAATTTAGTTGTGCAGAGTTCAGTAGTGTCATGCATTGCGGGAATAAAAGACTGTTAAATGTCTTAAGAAATTTTAAAAGAGAAAGTAACGCAGTGAAAAGTTTTACGATATATACTAATAGAGAACAAAAGTTGTTTAGGTGAGTCTTTTTTGTAAATATTAAGTATTTTGTAAATAAAAATAGTGCGTATAAGATTAGTTCATAGATAAACAAGTATAAATTAGTTTGAGTGTATATTCGTTAAGTTCAAGTGGTTCAAATTTAATCCAAATTGTATTAATTAAGCGACAAAGACATATGTAGAGTTGTGTTACAGTGAAATTAAGTAGTCGCAAAAATGATTTTGTGAAATAATCTTCAATTGATATTAGTCCTACTTTTTATTAAAATTAATTAGTAATATAATATATGTGATAATTTTGCAAATTTAAAATTAGATCCGACTGAATTATTAGATTGTTAAAAATATGTTCTCTACTCACATGCTAGTATAGTAAATGTTCAATAATTGTATATCCAAAAATAAGTATACAAGATTATACATGAAAATATTACATTAAGTGTATGTGTATTTACAAAATATCTAATCATAATGACTTGTTATATTGCTTATAAAATTCATTCAATGTTTATTGAACGTTTGAGAAAAATTTAAACAATATCGTTTTATGAATCGAATAAAAAAGAAGAACAAAGTGCTCGTTTTTTGTTAACTTACATCTGAATTTAAAAAAAAAATTAAACCATATCGTTTTATGAACCGAATGAAAAATTCAATTCGAATTAGGTATATTAGGACAAAGTGCTCGGTTTTAGATTCAAGCTTACAATATTCAATGGTTAAATTTAAATATTTAAATGCTAGTAATGATGATTAATCATAAAATTTACTTTGCGATTTAAAATATTCTTGATTGTTCAAAAACTTTCTAGTGAAGTCATAGTATTGAATAAAGCTTACATAATTTATTAATATAAACAAATTGGTTAGTGTCTATTTTGTATGTCCCTTTACGGCAATTGTAAATTCACAAAATTTACTAAATGCCTCTGGATAGTTATAAAAAATATAGAGAATATAGAATAAGTGTCTAAGAAATCGTGTTTTTATATTTTTAACATATTTTTTCATTAGAAACTAGACGACCCGACAGACGTTGTCTTGTACTTATGTTTACAATTCAAAAGTTCCAATTTTTTTTAATAACCTATACTGATATTTATCAATTAGATAAACATTATTATATG